CTCCCCCGACCCGCGCAGCGCAGCGTCCCACCCCAGCTGTGCGGAGAACTTGCTTTTCCGGTACTGGGGACTCGGTGCTGCACGACTGAGTTCAGATTTTGGGAGCGAATGCACATCGCCCAGGATGGAGGATCCTGGGACAACCTGGGATGGCTCAGTGGATAGAGTGCTTGTAGCTCAGTGGGGAGAGTGCTTGCGGCTCACCGGGCAGAGTGCTTGTGGCTCGGTGGGTAGACTGCTTGTAGGTCAGTGGGGACAGTGCTTGTAGCTCAGTGCGCAGACTGTGACTCAGTGGGGAGAGTGCTTGTGACTCTGTGGGGAGAGTGCTTGTGACTTAGTGGGGAGAGTGCTTGTAGCTCAGTAGGTAGAGTGCTTGTGGCTCAGTGGGGAGAGTGCTTGTTGTTCATTGGGGAGAGTGTTTGTACTTCACTGGGGACACCGCTTTTACCTCAGTGGGGAGAGTGCTTGTAGCTCAGTGGGGAGAGTGCTTGTGGCTCGGTGGGTAGAGTGCTTGTGGCTCGGTGGGTAGACTGCTTGTAGGTCAGTGGGGACAGTGCTTGTAGCTCAGTGCGGAGATTGTGACTCAGTGGGGACAGTGCTTGTAGCTCAGTGGGGAGAGTGCTTGTGGCTCAGTGCGTAGAGTGCTAGTGGCTCAGTGGACAGAGTGCTTGTGGCTCACCAGGTAGAGTGCTTGTGGCTCAGTGGGGAGAGTGCTTGTGGCTCGGTGGGGAGAGTGCTTGTGGCTCGGTGGGGAGAGTGCTTGTGGCTCACCGGGTAGAGTGCTTGTGGCTTGGTGCTTGTAGTTCAGTGGGGACAGTGCTTGTAGCTCACTGTGGAGCGTGCTTGTGACTCAGTGGGGACAGTGCTTGTACCTCAGTGGGGAGAGTGCTTGTGGCTCAGTGCGTAGAGTGCTAGTGGCTCAGTGGACAGAGTGCTTGTAGCTCAGTGGGGAGAGTGCTTGTGGCTCACCGGGTAGAGTGCTTGTAGGTCAGTGGGGACAGTGCTTGTAGCTCAGTGCGGAGACTGTGACTCAGTGGGGACAGTGCTTGTGACTCTCTGGGGAGAGTGCTTGTAGCTCAGTGGGGAGCGTGTTTGTGACTCAGTGCATAGAGTGCTAGTGGATCAGTGGATAGAGTGCTTGTAGCTCAGTGGGGAGAGTGCTTGTGGCTCAGTGGGTAGAGTGCTTGTGGCTCAGTGCTTAGAGTGCTTGTAGTTCAGTGGGGACAGTGCTTGTAGCTCAATGCAGAGACTGTGACTCAGTGGGGACAGTGCTTGTAGCTCAATGCAGAGACTGTGACTCAGTGGGGACAGTGCTTGTAGCTCAATGCAGAGACTGTGACTCAGTGGGGACAGTGCTTGTAGCTCAATGCAGAGACTGTGACTCAGTGGGGACAGTGCTTGTAGCTCAATGCAGAGACTGTGACTCAGTGGGGACAGTGCTTGTAGCTCAATGCAGAGACTGTGACTCAGTGGGGACAGTGCTTGTAGCTCAATGCAGAGACTGTGACTCAGTGGGGACAGTGCTTGTAGCTCAATGCAGAGACTGTGACTCAGTGGGGACAGTGCTTGTAGCTCAATGCAGAGACTGTGACTCAGTGGGGACAGTGCTTGTAGCTCAATGCAGAGACTGTGACTCAGTGGGGACAGTGCTTGTACCTCAGTGGGGAGAGTGCTTGTGGCTCAGTGCTTAGAGTGCTTGTAGTTCAGTGGGGACAGTGCTTGTAGCTCAGTGTGGAGACTGTGACTCAGTGGGGAGAGTGCTTGTGACTCAGTGAGGACAGTGCTTGTGGCTCAGTGGGGAGAGTGCTTGTAGCTCAGTGGGGAGAGTGCTTGTGGCTCGGTGGGTAGAGTGCTTGTAGTTCAGTGGGGACAGTGCTTGTAGCTCAGTGCAGAGACTGTGACCCAGTGGGGACAGTGCTTGTTGTTCAGTGGGGAGAGTGCTTGTGGCTCAGTGGGGAGCGTTCTTGTTGCTCAGTGGGGAGAGTGCTTGTAGCTCAGTGGGCCGGAGTCCTCTCCTCGCCCTGGGCTCGGTCCCCTGAGCAGCAAAAACTGTGCTGGGTACTGTGCACCTGCCGTCCCAGCACTTGGTAGTGGAGGTCACTCAGGAATGCGTGGGAACGAGACCCCGGCCCCTGATAGCCCAGGCTAGCCCAGGAGGTCGTGCTGCGGCCTGAGCCTGTGTGGAAAAGTCCCCCCACGTGTGTTGACGGACCCGCTGGGGGCCGAACCCCGGGGCTGTTGTTTACGTCACGGCCGCAACCGCCCCCCCCCCGCAGGGCCGCAGTCGTGTCTCGTCACAAGCTGACAACGCCCGCGGCTCATGAATATTCAGTTATGCTAATGAGCGGGCCGGATCGCGCCACCGACGGCGTCGCAAATATGCAAACGAGCTACCGAGGGTCATGAATACGCAAACGAGCCAACGGGGCTCATGAATATGCAGGCGCGCTAATGAGCCCCGCGCTGAGGGCGCGGCCCGAATAGTCGATCATGCTAACGAGGTCATGAATATTCAATTATGCTAATGAGGACGCGGGACTGCCAGTGAGCATACGTGACTGCTGATCGTGCTAATGAGCGCTCCTGACTAATCGATGGTAAACATGCGCACACGTGAATGTTTAATGATGCCAGTGAGCACGTAGACGTGTTTAAGTGTGTGGAGGGGCACACATGGCCGCCCAGTCATGCCAACCAGCGCATGATGCGCATTCAGGCGCTTTGAGGAGTTATTTAATGACGGGGCTGACACTGTGTGAAGGCGCCCATGAGTCATGCTAACGAGCACGTCCTGAGCACGCGGTTATGCTAATGAGGGCTCATGAATATTTAATTGTGTCACCGACACGCGTGAATATTTTATTGCGCCCAGTGCCCGCTGCACGCTTAATCATGCTAACGAGCGCGTCATGAATATTCAGTCGTGCTAAGGAGCGCATCAGGACTATCGATCATGCCAATGAGATCACATGAACACTTGGTCAGTCCAGGGGTCCCTCAGGAATATTCAGGTGTGCTAATGGGCTCGCGGGAATATTTAATTGTGCTAATGAGCGCACGTGTGTCCGATTGTGCTGACGAGCGCTCCACGGATGTCAGTCATGCCAACGACCACGTCCTGAACATTCAAGTATGCTAATAAGCCGCATGAATATTTAATTGTGCTAATGAGCGCGTGGGCACGTTCCGTCACCCTAAGGAGAGCTCCGGTGGGCATCTAATTACAACGTGGAGCTGGCTGGCTCAGACCGGATCAGAAGGACTTGGTACCCACAAGCCGCACCACGGTGGAAGGATCGCTGCCCAGGTATGTGACATGTTCCTGGGAGCTGGGGTCAGAGGGTGTCTGTGCAGCACCGTCCCGTGGGTGCTGGGAGCTTGGTTCCTCTGGGGATGCTGTCAGGGGCTCTCTATCCATCACCCTCCCTTGGGTGCTGGGAGTTTTGTTCCTTCAGGGTGATTTCAGGTCTCCAGGGGACCAGGTTTCGTGACATGTGTGTGGTGGGCCTGGGGGATTGTGGGAAATGGAGGGGATTGTGGGAAGCTCCAGACATATGTGCACACGGCTCTCCCAGCATAGACCAGACATGACGTCATGGCTGTGTAAGTGCAGTGTCAGATTCAGGTGCAGGCACCGTGTCATTCAAGGAAATGTCCTGGGGATGGCTGTGATGTCAGAGGGGAGGCTGTGATGTCAGAGGGGAGGCTGTGATGTCAGACGGGGAGGCTGTGATGTCAGAGGGGAGGCTGTGATGTCAGAGAGAGAGAGAGAGAGGCTGTGATGTCAGACGGGGAGGCTGTGATGTCAGAGGGGAGGCTGTGATGTCAGAGAGAGAGAGTCTGTGATGTCAGACGGGGAGGCTGTGATGTCAGAGAGAGAGAGTCTGTAATGTCAGACGGGAAGGCTGTGATGTCAGAGGGGACGCTGTGATGTCAGAGGGGACGGTGCGATGTCAGATGGAACTTCTGTGATGTCAGAGGGGACAGGGCTGTGGAGAACGGAGCTCAGATTCGCTGAGTCACATCATGGAGCACTCAGCACAGCACAGCACAACCCAGCACAGTACCACACACAGGATCACTCGGACCCAGAGGAAAAAAGCTGAAATGGAGATGGACGGTGACGTCAGTCCAGCTCCTTCCCCCACTCCATGGACACACGTGTCCATTCAGTCACGTGTGTAAGTCGTCGGTCGTGTATCGATCAGTCTGTCATCTACGTGTCATCTGTGTATCCGTCTATTGATCCACCTGTCGATTTATGTGCGTATGAATCGGTCATCTGTAATTCTTCCTATCGGTCATCTATTAATCTGCCTGTGTCTTTGTCTGACATCCATCTATGTATCATCTATCATCTATCTATCTATCTATCTATCGATCATCTATCTAGTCCTATCTATCATCTACCTATCTATCATCTATCATCATCTCTCTATCATCTATCTATCTTTCAATCATCTATCTAGTCCTTTCTATCGATCTGTCTATCATCTATCATCTATCGCTCATCTCTCATCTATCTATCTATCTATCATCTATTTGTCTGTCTGTCTATCTCTCATCTTTGTATCTATCTACCATCTATCTATCTATCTATCTATCTATCTATCTATCTATCTATCTATCTATCTATCTATCTATCTATCATCTATCTATCTATCTATCTATCAATCAATCATCTATCTATCCATCCATCCATCCATCCATCAATCCAGTCGCTCATCTATTACTCTGCCTGTCTGTCTGTCATCGATCAATCTGCCTGTCCATCTATCAATGTGTGCTCGGTGCACCTGTCGCCTTCCTGTCATCTAGTCTTTTGCCCGAAGCACTCAGCCAAGCACCTACACAATTCTGCACATCCCCACGGTGCTCATGACACAGTCCCCGCAGCCCTGATAACCACAAACGCTGACATCTGCTCAGCACCCCAGACGCTAGCTGGGGCCCCGCTGCCCCGGTAGGAGAGGGAACTTCCTGTGTGGAGCACAGCCGGCTTTAGACGGGTTTCTTCAGCCACGGTGCTTACTTAGCCTTTAAGAAGCACCACCAGGCTTGGTAGTCCTACCACTCCAGTAAACTCGAGTTCTCGGTTGTATAAAATTTCATAATTGCGGTCCGTGCGCAGCGGGGTCGCCGGGTTCCCGGACTTGAAAGACGCTGCAGAGATAATTAGCACTTAGGTCACCATCAAAGGACTGTGATCAGCACCTGGGGGAAAGGGAGATCAGCACTCACCATTCCCCAAAAATATATCCGGACGCTGTGCACAAGCTGGGTTTCAGGATGTTGTATGTCACTGCGAGGGTGCTGAAAACTGAGTCCTCTGCGAGACCACGCAGGACTTTGTGCTCCTCTCCCTCCATGCGGGTGCTGGACCTCGAACCCAGTTCAGAGCACACCGAGTCATCCTCGTGGCCCAGGCTCATCCCCCGGAGAGTGTCTGAGCACCCAGGCCCTGTTCTAACAAGCACCCCGACGTGCTGGGTCAGGTCAGGTCCACCCCGGAGCCCTGGGTCTTTATGAGCATCGGGTGCTGACTCACCCACCTACTAGTGTTCTGGAATTTCAGTAATGTTAGCTCCCGCACCCCCGCAGAGAACAGAACGAGGGTGCTGGATCCCCTGGAGCTGCGGTTTCTGGAGGCTGTGGGTGCTGCGAACTGAGTCCTCTGCGAGAGTGGGCGGTGCTGGGACCGGCCGAGCCATCCCTTCCGCCCCATCTTTAGCTGCTCTGAGGGTGCTGGACTCGGGTAAGGGCGTCTTCCCCGGGAGTCCCCTGCACGCTTGGAGCAGTACCCAGGGCTCGGTAGCAGCACCTTCCCCTCTGGGCTATGAGGCTTGGGGCCTGTGGAGACGCAGAGCATCATGGGAGCACTGGGGCGGGTGAGGCAAGCTGCTGACGTCATGATGTAAGGAAGTAGAGAGAGGAGACTGGGGTGCCAGTGTCCCCCTTCCATGACACCCCCCTATGACGTCACTCCCCCACTAGCAGAGCATCTTGGAATTACGGAGTGCGGGGGGGAGGGGGGTTGCTGACGTCATGGTGGACATGGAGTAGAGAGAGGAGACTGGGGTGCCAGTGTCCCCCTTCCATGACACGCCCCTATGACGTCACTCCCCCACTAGCAGAGCATCTTGGAATTACGGAGTGCGGGGGGGGGAGGGGGCTGCTGACGTCATGGTGGACATGGAGTAGAGAGAGGAGACTGCGGTGCCAGTGTCCCCTTCCGGGGCACGCCCCTATCACGTCACTCCCCCCACTAGCAGAGCATCTTGGGAGTATGGGGGTCAGGCAGGCCTGCTGACGTCATGGTGCACAAGCAGCAGAGAGAGGACAGTTAGGTCCCAGTGTCCCTTTCCAGGACAAGCCCCTATGACGTCACTTCCTGCCAGTAGCAGAGCATCATGGGGTGGAGCACAGCTGCTGAGGTCACGCTGAGCAGGAAGTAGAGAAGAGAATGGGATCCGAGTGTCCCCTTCGAGGACGCTCCCTATGACGTCCCTTCCTTCGATGACGTCACTTCATCCCCTCAGTCTTTCCACCAGTTCAGTCCCGCCCCCTCCCCATATCCCAGTGAGCTCTGGGTCCTTCCCTGCACGGACGGCGGTTGACGTCATCCCTCGTGATGCAATCACCGCCCAAAGGCTCCAGCAGTGGAGACCCAGCCTTCCATAAAACAGCCTCCGGGGAATATTATCTATCCAAGAAAAGGGAGCGAGGAGAAGAGACTGGAGTCCCGTGTCCCCTTCAGTGACGTGCGTTGCTAAAGTCACTTCCTGTCAGTTGGATTCTCTTCTACCCCGCCGGGCTTCCTGCTGGGCCCTAAGACGTGACCCCCGTGTGGGACGTCAAGGTGCCCCAAAGCCAAGGTGCCTCAGGCTGCGTAGACCCGGAAGTCAAGTGCTCTGCACACGTCCTGATTGTCTGGGTCTTTTCCTGCAGGTGAAATAACCAGGAGCGATGAGCGGGGCCCGGGGTCACTGGTGAGTCCACGCCCTGCAGGAGACGCTTTACCTTCTGCGTGTCAGGACGCGAGGACTGTGGGTAGAACTCAGCTCCGTGGGTATTGGTTTTCTTGTGTACTCTGCACAGCACCCTTCTATAGTTGCTTTGATTGTCCCGATGTCACAGTGTAGACTGACTGCGAAGAGTCTCCATGCGGGACCGTGTAGACTGAGCTTTCTGGATTCAGTTGATTGACGAGGGAAACGCCGCCCACTGTGGAAATCCCCGCCCACTGTGGAAAATAGTACTGTGCACAGCACCATTCCCTACACAAGGAACTATGTAGAGAAATGGGGCTCAGTACAGGCAGGCCATCATTCATTCATTCATTCATTCATCTCTGCTCCTCCCTGTGATGTCATGTGAATTCACCATGTCTAGGCTGGCCTGGAACTCAGTCCCTTTCTGGCTCCCAAGGCATGTACCACCACACCTGGCCTAAAATTTTTTTTTACTACATTCATTTATTTAGTTGGAGGGGTGAAGGAACAGGCCACAATGTGCATGTGGAGGTCACAGGACAACTTGTGGGCCCTAGGGGTCAAACTTAGGTGGGTAGGCTTGGCAACAAGTGCCTTTACCATCCCACCTGATCTATTTTTTTTTTCATCCCAGATAGAAATACTGTTCTGACTATTGAACAGTTAACTCCAGTTCTCCCTTAACATAGTCCCTCAGAGCCTCTGCTCTACATTATGATTATGAATTTACTCTAGATATCTCTTATTGTATAACTCTGCTCCTCCCTGTGATGTCATGTGACCCCCGTGTGACCTTCCTGCCTGGATTTCCCATGGTCACAGCTCTGACCTGGCGTTTTGAGCCGAAATGAACCTTTTTCTCTGCTCTGTAGTTTTCTTTCACTACGATTTGCCACAGCAACTTAAACAATCGACTCGGGGCTGAGTTGACTCGGACTCAGTCAGGACTCAGTCATTCATTCCTGTTTCCTGTTCGTCCCGACGCCCTCAGGAGCCCGAGGCTGTGGCTGGCGCTGTGCTGCCTGTGCGGAAACGCGCCGGGCACGTTCGTAACGCGCAATTCCAGGCCCAACATTGTCCTGTTCATGGCCGACGACCTCGGGGTGGGAGATTTGTCCTGCTACGGTAATAACACGATCAGGTAAAGGCCGGGATCAAACAACCGACTCCTTCCTGCGATGGGGGGGTGATGGGCAGTGCTTCTGGTCCCAGAGTGCTGTGCTGAGTCTGCCGTGAAAGAGGATGAAGTCAAGGGGGACGGCCCAGGTTCACCAGCGTTGTGGGCAGTGTGAACGGTCCATTCTTTTTCACGGCTGCCTAATATTCCAGAATCTGTAGCTCCTTGGTGTATGTGTGAAACTCTGTATATTTGTAACGTCTTATGTGTTATTTTGACGGTACGTGTAGGTGTGTACACCTGTGTGTGTGTAGGCGCACCCGAGTCGTGCAATGCCTGCGGAGTTCAGAGTAGGGCGTCGGACCTCCTGGATCCGCAGTTACGGAGGGTGCCTTTGAATTTCACGGTGGTGCTGAGGACTCGGAAACTCAGCGGCGGACTTTGCTCTCTGCTTCGCAGCACCCCAAACATCGACCGGCTGGCCAGAGAGGGAGTGGTGTTGACTCAGCACCTCGCAGCTGCTTCCGTGTGCACCCCGAGCCGTGCGGCCTTCCTCACGGGGCGGTACCCCGTCAGATCAGGTGGGGTTCGTCACAGGAGACTCGCTTCCTCTGGCCATCATCGTCCCTTCCTCGTGCTTCCTCTTCCCTTCCTCCCTTCCGGTCTCTTCCCTTTCTTTACGTTCAAACAACGCAGCATTTTACCTGGTTTACTGGGGGGAGTACTATACAGCACGGAAAAAGGGAAGTGTGGGAAAAGCCTGGCACCGCTGGCCCTCGGGGAAGCGTGTGTTCCAGGTGACCGTGTTCCGAACACACTCACGTGTTGAACCCGGTGATCTCAGGCATGGCGTCTCCCAACAACCTCAACCGAGGCGTCGTGTGGCTGGGCGGGTCCGGTGGCCTCCCACCCAACGAGACCACGTTCGCCAAGATACTGCAGCAGCGCGGCTACCGCACGGGGCTCGTAGGTAGGAGCCTGGGGGTGCTGTTAGTGGGAACGCTCGGTACCCCCTCACACCCCCGTGGGAGCTGACTTCCTCTCCGCGCAGGGAAGTGGCACCTGGGCCTGAGCTGCGCGTCCCGTGGCGACCACTGCTCGCACCCGCTGAACCACGGGTTCGACGCCTTCTACGGGGCGCCGTCGGGGCTCCTGAGCGACTGCCGGGGCTGGGCGACCCCGGAGCTGCACCGCGCGCTGCGGGTCCGGCTGTGGCTGGTGTCGGCCGGCCTGGGCTGCCTCCCGCTGCTGCTGCTGGTGCCGAAGCTGGCGGGCTGGTGTCCGGTCCCGTGGGCCGTCGTGGCGCTGCTGGGCGTCGTGGCCGCCGCCTTCTTCCTGTGCTGGTTCTGCAGCTACGGCTTCGTGCGCACGTGGAACTGCGTCATCATGAGGAACCATGACGTCGTGCAGCAGCCCATGAACACGGAGCGCGCGGCGGCGCTCATGCTGCGGGAAGCGCTCGCCTTCGTGGACAGGTCGGTGCGCGTCCGTATTTGTACGTGCGTCCGTTTATTGCTCTATCTATCTGTCCATCAGTCCACCCGCCGATCCATCAATGTATCCATCCATTATCCGCCATCGTCATCATCATCCATCATCGTCTATGTCCCATCATCCATCAATCTGTGTATCTAACCACCCAGCAATCTATGTATCTATGCACTTATGTGTTTCTGTATCTACTGATCGATCCATCCATCCATTCATTTATCCATCCGTTGATCTATGTATCCATGTACCCATGTATCTCTCCATCTGTCCATGTATGTATGTATGTATGTATCTCTCTCTATCTTTCATCTATCATCAATCTATTTATATATCATCTATCTTTCTATCATCTATCCATCATCTATCATCTTCTATGTGTCTATCATATACCATCTATCTA